TCTTTTTTGCTTAAGCTCTAATTTTAAAAATCAGTATAACATTAATTCTTTTTTATACATCCTATTCTATAAGGTATTCCTATCCTTAAACGCATAAACGACTAAGCATGCCCTCATCACTTGGATACGAACATTTGTCACTGTCTCGAATATATGGCTCTAACTGTTTTCCATCCTAAAAAGGGGTGACATGCGTCGTTTGTCCAATTTGTTACGCAATCAAACCGTCGCCTGGACTCCTGTGAAAAACGTGCTTGCCGAATACCAAGTCCACGTCCAAGACCAGGTCTTTTAGCTGGTAATTGGTTTGTCATTATAGCAAAAGAGAGGCACAGGAAAGTGCATTGAACTTGGGTTCAAAAAAAAAACAGGAGAGAGATTTTGTTTTGTTGATTTATAGAAAGAGGGAAGGATCAGCTGCCTTCTGATCTTGGCACGTTCTATGAAGAACCCTCCCTTTCAAACTTCGCACCTTTTCCCTTTACGATTTTGTCCTGGTAATTTATTAGTCTTAAAAACAGCTGACGAGAGAGAAACCTTTCTTTCCTGTTTTTCATTTCCTTATTTCCGACTTTCCACCTATAATTAAATGAACCAGAATCTGAAACTCACACCCAAAGGATCATTACTAGTTAGGCCCAATTTTTCCCATGCCTCAGTCAAAGTTCAGAAAAAGATTTATGGGAAAACCAATTGAAGTGGCAAGAACTGTGATATCTCAAATGGGGGGCTCTAAAAACCATTTCCATACCGAACAGTTGCCCTGTAATAGTATGAGGGTGCTCTTCTCATTCTTTTGTTGTCCAGAAAATTACTAAACATCACCAACTACAAGGGGATGTGATTTCTATACAACTCTCCAGACTTGGATGCCATTTAACGACACAGCAAAAAGCACAAAACTCAATGATTCAATGATACTTTATCGTCGAACGTAATCTTGTTCTTGAGAAGGGGGACTATGAAGTGACATTACATAAGTTGGGTGTAGTAAACCAGCCCAATTATGAGGGCTATATATTTCGAGAGAATGTTTCAATCAGTTCTGTAGTTTATTAAAATTGATATTGGTATATGATGTAATTGAATATTGATTTCAAAGGGTTAACTCAATTGCTGCGTTGTGGTGATTGCAGAGTTATACCAAAATTTATAGGGGGGAAATAAAGCAAATCAAAGAGTTTTGTGACAATAAGAAGTTCAGCAAATAAATATCAGAAGAGTATTTAAAAAAAGTTATTTTTTAAAGTTGACTTACGCAAAAGGAATTTTTTTAAATACAAATTAAATTTATTTAGATATTATTTATTATAATTATTTGTACTTTCCTTGAAAAGAGCATCTTTAGTTCTACTACCCGCACTTTCTATTTCGGTGTAAAAATCTTAATAGAATTAACCACGGAGCCACAGAAATCTGTGTACACATTATTAACTTGATTGCCCTTTGTTGCTATTGGAAAATAATTTTTCTCAATTAAATTTTCCTCGAATTGAATTTGATGAGCCTAAACGAACAGACGAACCAAGATTTGTAATTTAGTTTACCACTCATTGTTATTTAATCCTTTGGCCAGGCCACCATTCACATCCCGGACAGATGTTTGTCTAGCTCCAGTGTTCCCTTTTAATGCCTTGTTCGCGGGATTAATGTGAGGCCAAAAGCCAGAGGGTGGTGATCGGGGGAAGCATGTGTGCTGATTTTTGCACTATGGTGGGTCTTAAGTCGTATTAATTTTCAATAAGTGCATTGAGCTCTATGAATTGTTTGATAAATGGCGCAGCGGGTTAATCCACGGTGCTGATAAGGGACAAGAGGCAGACCCTTTCTAAGCGAATATGAAACTGCATTCTGAGCACGTTCCATTCAGGAAAATAACGTGACTAGGTAAATTTAACCACATTTCTTTTAAGGGGTTATATACAGTTGTACCGCACAAAAAATGAAATTTTACCGATTAGTTCGATAAGCCTGGACTTTTTCCGAGGGATATCAAAATTTATGCAGAAATTTCAAAATGTGCAAATATCTTAAACTACATTTAATTTTTTTAAATCTATTAGTGAAATCCTTATAAAAAATTGCAAAATAAGATGTTATTTATTTGTTACGTTTATTTTTATTTCGAATTTTTGATATAAACAAATCATTTTTAAATTTTAATTTAATAAAAAATTGGTCTAAGTGTAATTTTTGTGAAGCCCAAAAGTATGCCATTAATTTAGAATATTTTCGTTACCCAATACACAAACTACATTACCGCTTTACCGTTAGTGAATCGGTTATACCGTTTGTTTTAAATTCTTCCATTTGCATTATTAAATTAAACTATGATTTTTAATCTTTTTATAACATTTTCGAAGCTCATCCTTCGAAATATTTGTTATTACTCGTGTCGTTATTAAATAAACTTACTAAAATGCGTAATAGCTATATAATATTTTAAAATGCTATCTGCAATTAATCTTTGTGAAGGTCGTGATCTGTATTTATTCTGGATTTATTTATATTACTCACGCTTTGACCTTTTCAAGAGAAAAAAAACCACGTGCATAAATCACATGTTTCAAATTCGCGAAGTTCGTGCAACCTAACTAACTGAACTCAACTAAACTTTGGCTGATGCAATGGCTTGTAAAATTTCATTTGCGAAAAAAAACACAACAGAAAAGTGAAAAAACAGTTGAGAACATCCAACTCCAGAATGCTTTTCCCACTCTGTTTGTTTGGCTTGTTGGTTTGTTTGTTGTTTTAGCCAAGTTTTTTTCCACACTTGATTGTGTACAACATGGTTAGCCTGTGTTTAATGTGGGTTTTGGCAAGGGGGCTTCAATAAAGGGGAAAAGGGGATCTCGAAAATAAGAAACGGATCTTTTCGTTTTTTGATTGATATTCTTTTGGTTTCGACTGCCCATTAGGTCTCATTAATCATACATTGCTCATAAAAAACTATTGACTGGTTGGCGTAATTCGTTGGGAATAAAATAAACTTAAGAAGATTTTTCTAGGTTCCGGTTGGAATTAGAATTTGTTTAAACTTAAATCAATATTTTAGATGATTTAAAATTTCTATAAGCTTCAAAAATGTATATTTTAGAAAATGTAGAAATTCTGTAATTTCGAATTTCTATAATTAGTGTTTTTATAAATTCTAAAAATCCATATTTCACATAAAAGTATAATTTGTTTCAAGAAAATTAAAAGTAAATTTTGATTTCTTTCATGTTTAGTACTACTATTTTAAAAATAGTATTTTTAATTTTAGTCAGATGCTGAATAATGACATATTTTATATAAAAAAACTTTTGTAAACCCAAATTTATTATACATTCAGCTTACTGAAAATCGGTCGACTAATATTTATGCGTTCTTTCAATATTCCTTTTGGATGTCTTAAATTTGTCTACAACAGAACATTAATGTTCGCGATGAATAATTCAATTGTAATGCTTTTTTAAGCCCCTAGCTTTTATTTCGTTTATAAGTGTGTACCTGGAAGATAGAAGCCCTTCGTTCTGGGCTAATTCTGAATTCAAGCTTCAGTTGCCAGCTCCAGACGCTGGGCTGTTGAATTATGAATATGCCCGGCGACGGCTCGTGACTCAAACAGGTGCAAAATCGAAGCTGGGAGCACGCCAGTTGGGTCGAGACCAGACTCTAGACGAGCCCCTCCCTCCGGCGGCATTTCCCTGCCCCCGCCTTTCACCTCCTGACATTGGCATTTTGAATGTTTCCGACAACAGCAAAAATTGCTTAATTTATTCAACAGTTTTCGTGTGACTTGGGCAAACTGAAACAATAAATCCAGCTAAATGCATAAAAAATAAGTGTAAATAAGAATAATAAAAAAAACAGAACATTACCCAAAATGAAAGGTAACTGGTTCTGGAGGGGAAACAAACAGGCAAATATATCTATGTACCGGGTTCATGAGATCCCGTATTGCTTTCGATTCCGTTTTGAAAGTTTCTTGACTGAACTGAGGCCAAGCGGATGTTTGTGATCATGCCAAGAATATACCTTCATATGCATAAGCGAGTGATTTAATCAGAGTCATTAGCACAGGGATTTTAATATTCCGATTCATGCTGGACCAATGTCCACATACAAACACACAGACTCCCCTACAATTAGCCCCCGGGGCGACCTCATCGCGATGATATAATACCCGTACATCGGGGCTCATTGTGGCGCAAAAAGATCACAGATCATTGGATCTTTTGTTGGTTCTCCGTCTGATTTACTTGCGGAAATGTTGGGCGACAGCTCAAGGAATTTACTACTTGTAAGTGTCACTTTGGATCGAACTATATGGTGATGGTGAACTAGAGGAACCTTTTGAAAGGGCTGCATTAGCATCTCAATGAACTTAGCAGTGAATGGGAGTTCTCGGCTTCCTATGGTAGATCTTTCAAGGTTTCTAGATCACCTCTGACACTCAGTTATGACTGATCTATATAGCTTTAAGTAGAATTTGTGACTTATTTGTGTGCGCGGTTTGAAGTTGGCCTTTGAATGTTAATAAAATTTATAGATATTTGTTAGGTACCAAATTCTTTTGTTGTAGAAAACCACAAAAAGTTTATTGCATTATGCCATTAATCTGTCAAAATGGTAAATGTTTCAAGGTCTTTAAATTTATATATGATTTTAAATTAATATAAGGGGATTTTTTTTTTTGTGATCTAGATTAAAAATTTAAGTATATTTCGCTAAGCAGACATATTTTTTCTGAATGAAATTTATTAAATCCACTTTAACAGGGTTATTCCCCCATTACACTCTATCAACTTGATTTTAATATCACAAAAAGGTTTTTATTCAGTTTCGAGTCTTTAAACCTAAGTACAAATTACAACATCTATAGGTACATATGTAATATGTATTAATTTTAAATAATATATTACAATGAAAGGTTAGACGCAAACTTAGGGCTACGAGTAGCAAACAAGGCTTGACAATACGACAAGTTGAATATGGCAAGGCTCTTCCTCTCATCGTTTCGATTATCTCAGGAGAGCCAGGAGCAGAAGACTCATGAGACTCCAACTGACAGCTCCACTAGCACCACTTGTTCTGGCCATTTGATTCTCGGCCGGCAACTGGGCCATGGCCACCAGTTGCTGTTCCTCGCTGAGCTTGGGTCTGTAGCTCCAGTCGATGGTGTTGGTCTTACAGATCTGCGCAAAGACTCGCGCCGAAATCTTGGGGGTTCTTGTGCGTTCCGGCGAATTGAAGTCCACGTGATAGAGTCCGAACTTCTCCGAGAAGCCAGCCTTCCATTCATAGCTGTCCATCAGACTCCAGGCGATATAGCCACTGACATTCACACCATCCTCAATGGCATCGAGTACTGCCGAGAGATAGAGGTTATAGTAATCCACGCGAGCGTAATCCTCCAGACCTCCGCGATCACTGACGCCATTCTCGGTGACCAAAATCTCGGGTGCATTGTACTCGCGGTGTATCCACATCAGCAGATTGTACATTCCCTTGGGAAAGACCTGCAAAAATAAAGAGGAGGTACAACCCCCAGTTAGTGGAGTTCATTCACCTTTATGCGCGCCACCTGAACGAAAGTCACCCTCTTTTGATTCCCGGCTAACTAGTTTACTCGGCAAACCATAATTCAAACTCTAAGTGGGGATAAGTCAACCCTCGAGTTACCCCAAGTTAATTACACCACCTCATCCTGGACGTGAGGGATTTCCCATCCCTCGTCTCCAGAGGGTGGGATATATAATCAATTTAGCCAACTAAGCGAAAGATAATTGAAGTTGTGGAGATGAAGGAAATATGGTTCTTTTGTTAAATTGCGGGGCAACGCAAGAAGGATAATATTCTAGACTTTCTAATGTAATTATTTTGGTATTTATTATAGAAAACTTTTAAAGAGCTTGAAAATTAAGTAATGTAACCCCAGTAATTTTCCTGAATTTCGAATGTCATTACTTTGATATACATTATAAAAAATGTTTAATAATAATAAAATAATAGCAACCCAATAATTTAATGTAAGCCTTTCTTAGTATTCAATTCTAGACAGAATAAACAATTAAATATTTCCAAATTTCGAACTTAAGTCCCACATTGTTAAAGAGTACAAAACAATCCATTGGAAATATAAGATTAGAAAGAATATCCTTCTAAATACCTTTTTCTATGTTTCTAGAAATTGTAAGATCTCCAGGAAACACCCCATATATGATCTCTCGTACTTTTCCAACTCACCTTAAGCCAAACAGATCCCGAACCGGGCCAGTCGACGTCCTTCTGGGTCTCCACCACTCCCATATCGTGATTAAACGAAGGAACCGGAAACTTTCCGGTATTATTGTGCCCATTCGAAAAGACCAGGTTGCTGGTGTACGAATTAATGCCAAAGAAATCGGAGGTGCCGCGGATGCGATGGATCTCCTCGGTGGTGAATTCGGGCAATCTGGAGCGAGCTCCAAAGCCCTGCTCCTTGCTCAGATTCCGGATCCGCTCGATCATCACCTTGGGATAGTTGCCGTGCTTGGAGAAGATGGGGTGGCCAAACCAGCCCACATAGAACTGCATGGCTCGCTCGGAGGCCTCGCGATCCTCGGCGGAATTGGGGTCCCTGGGCTCTGGCCAGGATGTGTCCAAAGTAATGCCCATGCGTCCGCCCTGTTGCGACTGGAAGAGTTCCCGGTACATGTGAACCACCTCGGCGTGGGCCTTCAGCAAGTTGTGACCACACAGATAGGCGGGAATGCCAGGATAATTATAGGAAGGTGCCATATAGTCCACCCCGTAACCATGCTCACACACATGCCACGGCTCGTTGATTGTCGTCCAGAGCTTCACCCGATCGCCGTACATTTCAAGGACCAAACGAGCGTAGTCCTTGAACAGCGGTATAATCTCCGGATTGGTCCAACCGCCCAGCTCCTGAAGCTTTTGCGGCAGGTCCCAATGGTAGATCGTGACCATCGGCGTGATATTGTACTTGAGCAGCTCGTCGATCAGGTTTGAGTAGTACTTAATGCCCGCCGTGCTGACGTGATTCATGTAGCCACCGGGCATTATGCGGGGCCAGGACAAGGAGAAGCGGTACGTGCCCGCATGCAGCTCCTTCACCATTTGAACATCTCGTTTCCACTGAAAAGGATTGGGAATATTATAGAATTATAGGTTTTGTAGGTTTTTTTTTTAATTATTTATTTAAATATAACTAAATAAATATATTTCAGACTAAAGTAGATTCAATTCATTAGAAAATATTACCAATTTCCTATTACTTCATTCATATAAAAAGGTAAAAAACTTAATTATAATTATGGTTCTAGGAATCCAAGTCAATGAACCTTAAGCATGTAAATAATTTCTATTAATCAAAAAATTATCATCAATGTAAATTGAGTTATTATTTGTTCTGCCTTTGTAATGAAGCGTAAAAATCCCCTTTCAGCTTATTGACCATTAAAAACACCTCAGTGTATTGCTGCCACCCATAGTTCATTTTAAATAATACGTATTTTCCCGGACTTAACCATTTGATATAATAAAATTTTGCCATAAAACGAGCGTAGCAATTCATTTAACCATTTAATGCCAAGACAGGCAGTCAAAATATTTAAAAGCCAGCAAGAAACTAGTCATATATAATCCGGCTGTTTAGTGGGAACATAAACTTTAATCGAAACTCGCCAACCCAAATTAATAATTGATATAGACAAATCAAAGTAATCACATTAATGTCCCCATTGGCTTTGAATTGAAATGTGTGCAAATAAATAAACCTGCAAATGGACACTTTAACTGTCGGAAAACTAGACTGCAGCAGCATTCTGACTACTTGATTGCTGCGGATTGATTTGGTTTCCTTTGAAACGAAGCCAAGAATGCCAGGCCAAATTTCCGAAAAACCCAAAATGGTATTGGAAAACCAGTTGGTCGGACATTGGCGACACATTCCACGCCCAATGGTCATTGTCACAACTTGGCCCGAAGCACTGACTTTGGCTTTGGATGTGGATTTGGCCCAGACCAGACTGCTGCTAATTATGTGACTTTGAATTGAAAAACAATTTGAATCGCGATCGCCGAGCATTGCATATGAAAGGAAGGGGCGTTTTAGCTGTCTGTCCAACTATTTAATCCATTTATCAAATCGCCTGTCGCCGCTGACAACAATAACAAGCGGATAGGCTGACAAAAAACAATAACAAAAAAAAAATAGTTTAACACCTGACGCAAATGCAACAGTTGGCACCCGTAACAAAATCGGTTAGCCTATTGATTGGCATTAGCAGGCGATTATGACACAATTAATGCTTACTCCAACACAGTCGACATGCGGCACTGATTTATCATTGCAACTTTGTATTTCAATTTGATATTTTCAATGCGAATTCTTTGTAGAATAGTTAGTACGGAGAATCTTGGAAGGAGATCGAGATTTTAGATACATGTAAATTCTACGTTATCGTAAATTCCATAAATCATGGTTCTTTGTTGAATTTAAATAATCTATGTCTAACATTTTTGTTTCTTTTATTTATTTATGTCTAATACATTTTCATTAATGATGTGCAAATATTCTTATCATCTCATCAAAAGGTTAAAAATCTTTAAAAAAAAGGTATTTAATTTCCCTAAAACGTTTTTTTTATCATTGATATTTCACCTAATTAAGAGCTCAAGTTTTTACTACAAACTCTAAGACCTTTATCATAACTAAAAGTGTGCTTAATTATAGAGTGATATGAAAAGATAAGTTATTCATATCAGCCTCTTTGGAAAATGGGACAAATGCTTAATAAATAGATATCCCCGATACAAGTTGGTAAACATCTTTATCAGTTCTAACCAGATTGCAGTCCAATACATTGTTACTATCTGTCAAAAAATTAAAATATTTTTCCAACTCTCTATCATCTACTATACTCCAGTTCCGTTTCAGGTCTACAAACAAGTCACGCCCTAGTTGGGGTGCCCTTTAAGTCGTCTTATTGTTGGAAGATCATTAATTCAGCACTGATCGCGGACCATTAATCAATTGACCGGACAAATGGTGCAAATGTACAGCGCTGAAAGTCTCAAATGGAGACAAGTTGATTATCAGAGCGGAGTAGTTAATCAAACAAAATTCGAAACAGGTGTCCCCATGCCAAAGGCCTGCTGCTCATGATTTATGCGACTCTTCGCTAATGGTTTTGTGGTCAGAACTATGCAAATTACTTAGCGACCCGTAATGGGATGCAACATTGTTCGATTTGCATCGCATGTCCACACTTAGGATGATATTATTGCCTACTGAGATGGTCACTTGAATTATGGTTATTGCTTGAAGTCATGTTATTAAAACATAATTGGCCAATGATCTTGGCTTCGAATTAATTGGGGGCAAAACTTTAGATTATCTCGTTTCTATCTCTCAGAAACTGTCTGTAGAAGCCGGAGGTCTTGAAGAACTTGATGTACAATATAAGATATTCAAAATTTGATAAGTTATACTGAGACCTTGTTTTTGAGATTCTGTAATATTTATATTCATAATTAAGAAGATTTGTATAGATTAAAGTTAAGTTAATTCTTCTGAACAAACAAACCCTCCTATCTTTTGATATCTTTAGATTCTTAAGAAGATCTGTATTTATTTTATTATTTTTATTTATTTCTATAAAAGTTACTGAGTTCTTCTGAACAAAAAAAAACCCTCTTATCTTTTGCTATCTTTAGTTTCTAAAGATCACTGACCACTTCTTTAAATCCATCTCCTCTGATCAGCGTCAAAAGCTCTAGATATTATCACGTAATTAGCTGTGTAACTAATAGCCATCAGAGTGCATCAATCGCGAATTGCTCACATATTTTCCAGTCGATTACCTCAGCAAGTCGACTGGAGATCTTGAACTCTTTGCATAACTTCCAATCAAATTCTGATGCCAAACAGACCGACGACTGCTACTGATTCTGAATACTACCATTATCGATTTGCCCATTAACCAACAGCGACGTGAGTAGATTCTCGGCTTACCTGATGATAGCTGTCCGATGAGATATCACCGTTTGATTGATCGGCTATTTTCTCGGGATGTGTGTGGGTGAGAAAGTCCCAGATCGATTCTCCCTTGTCATCCGCGTTCCAGCCTCCCTCGATTTGGTAGGAAGATGAACCAACTCCCCAGAGAAAGTCGTTGGGAAAGCGACGGGTTTGGCTCACCGGACTGCCAAGACATCTGTAAAGATATGGTAATGTGTTAATCGAAAGATGTTGCTGAATCTTCTGCGAAATCACTGCTAAATCAAGTGACATTCAAAATTGACGAATGTTACGACAATTTTTATTTACTTTTTAATTTTGTATACTTTTTATGATCTTGGCCAGTCATTTATATCAATTGCCGATTGGCTGGCCAAGGTCAGTCCGGATTAAACACAAATTTGGAGCTTTCTTTGAGCCAAATTCGCTTTTTTGGTAGCTTGAGGCTTGTCAAGGCGATTTGGAACCGATTTTTAGATGCGTTAAATCAGATTTGTGTAAATAAATTGAACTATATAGCATCTTGTAAAATATATTTAAAAGTCAATCTGACTTGAACAATATATTTTTGATTTAATTGATATTTAAAGTCTTGATCCTGGCAATTGCTTTGCTGGTATGGTTAATTTGAAATTTAAAGCATTTTTGTAAAAATTATTTCTATTTTTTATTTAAAAATCTATTTAAATTTAATCAAATTTTGTTTCTTAAATATCACAATTTTTTAAATTGTTAAATTAACACTTACGAGGCAATCAGCAATAGTACGGGCAATATAAATTTAAACATGTTGTTTTTTAATATTGTATATCCTTAAACGCGAAACTAATTTATGCCACACGAAAACTTTAAGCAGAAAACCCGTGAGTTTTTGCCCTAAACTTTTTCGTCGATTTTTGAACTTTTCGCGATTTTTGCCCGCTTTTTACTGAGCAGCGTTTACGATTCGCGAGCGTGTTAAGCCGACCGCGAAACGTTTGCAAATGATCTCCGGCGCTTTTATGTCCTACTGTTATAAAGCGATCGGCGGGTTTTGAGTACCGAGTCATAGACAAGTTCTCGCTCCCTCTCCATCTCACTTTTTCAGCGGAGATCACCAACAGGTGCCGATGTTATTATTATCTCTTTTGTTTTTATCTCGGGTTTGTTTTGTTTGATTTTGAGATTTTTCCCTTACCGGTTACGTATTTAAGATCGAGGGAGAGGAATGGAAAGGTTCTTGAATCTTTTTACCCGGCAAACATAAGTGAGTTCCCAACTAAGTCAATGGGAAATGTAGCGTTATTGACTTGCTTTTAGAAAAATTATTTAAATTCATCACAGCCAACGGCCGACTTAGCATAAATTATACGATAATAAATATTTCAAATCGTTAAATTCCCACAAAGGGCACGATTATGGAATTATGGGTTTTATTACTATTGGTTCGATTTTAGTTTTTTTTCGTTTATAAGTATTTATAGGGGGCACGATTTTCGCATTAAGTTATAGAAGATAAATATTTAAAAAGTTTTTAACAATAAATATATATTTAGCGATATTATAATTCAATAGTTTTAGTAAATGGGTAAATTGTAAATTCGAATAAGGTGTTATTTATTCCAATTAACAATTCCTATTTACTAAAAATATTGAATAATATTACAAGTTACATACATAGATTTAATAGTATTTTACAAATTAGTCAAATAATATCCTTAATATCTTTAAAAATATATTATTGAAAGTTTACCGGTCCTACGTATTCTAGTTTCGTATAGTCTTCATTTTTTTGTAAATTACATGTTAAGAAGATCTGTAAAATATCAATAAAGACACTTTTATTGCAGGAGTTTTTCCCCTACTTTCATTACCAAAGTTTTTAATTAAGTTTATAGTAACTGCAGAACGAAAACAATGTTCAAACAAGTGCAAGTAAAAATAACAACGATGTTTCTCCGGAAGAATGATAAAAAAAGGAGAGTTACGTTCTTGGAGAGAGTAAAAAAGAAGGTGTGTGAGAAATTCAATTAGATCGGAACGATAAAAGCTAATGGAACATCCAGATAAGATCGACTTTTGGTTTCGCTGTCAGTTACAGATATAAATTCTGACTTGGTCAGAAGGTGTTCAAAACTAAAAACGGAACCGAATTGATCCAAAGAAACCCGTTCTGGCATTGGTTTCGCCCAAAAGAACCGAACAATGAGTCTTTTGCCTTACAATAGCCATTATATGGACAGCTTTCGTATCCGCAAACTCGCTTCATAACCTCACATCCAGTTTTGATATTTTAATCCGCCACATGTGCTAAATGGAAGAACCTGAAAGTTTTGAAAGTCAGTCAAGGAACTTGACCAGATACTGACGTTGAGTTTATCATTTATTAAGTTATACAATTTTAAATTTCCTGGAAAAAAGACTTTTATTAAATACCTCTAGGCTTTTTGCCTATAATGTTAACGAGCAATAACAAAAATTTTGGGTTTTTATAATATTTTCGAGAAAAATATATATTATATATTCTCGAGAAAATTATTAAATATTAAACTAGACTTTTTGCTTATAATGTTTACGATCAATAACAAAAATGTTGGGTTTTTATATTATTCTCGAGAAAATATTGATCGTAAACATTGTAAGCAAAAAGTCTAGTGTGTACGGAGGTTTTCCCAGGTTAATAAATATTCCCAGTTAAAAAGAATATTTAAATTTATAAACTTAAACAATATAAGCAGAACGTCAGCTGATTATCCCATAGTTTTCCGAAGTGTATATTTCCAATTATAAGAGGATTAAAATTTATGAGCGGTTAAAACGAAAGTTGGCTAAAGAAGAGAATATTTGAATAAGTTTAAAGCTTAAACAATCACTGGCTGAATTAATAACTTTAAATACTATATGGTCTGACTTGAGTCGAGGGCCTGATTTTTTCTATTCCAGAAGCTCTATAGCTACTGTACAGTATTATAATAAATGTTTGTCAAGCTCTAATTATCATTTTATTTATTAAGATCCTTATGCATTTCAGAGAGAGGGTTCAAACTCCGACAGCAGTGGGCCAAGTACTACTAAATATAAGTTCTGACACACGACGTGGGCGTGTCGCCCCCCGTAACAGGTGTTCAACTGCCACTGAACTGATTCGATTTGAAGCGGCCGTGCATGATTAATGGAGCAATTTAAGAAAACAAATTTACGGACGGAAATGGCGATAAGAACTTACAATATTTGAAGGTAGCAACAGAAAGTGTCTACTTAAATAACAGTAAAATGTGGTCAAGATGTTGCTAAAAAATTTCCATTAAGTTCGTCCAAAGTTTCTTTTGATTAGCATATCCAGATGACAAAATTTCGTTCTTCAAAAGATTATCTTCTTAGTGGAGCATGTAAAAAACTTTTTAACCGGTTTCGGGTATGCCCATAATCATTTATTATATCCACTGTATATTTTTGCATCTGCCGCTCACGTGGGACAATTATGAATCACTGACTGGCATAAAAATCCCCAAAGAAACCCATGAATCTGGAAGCCTTTTGCATACGCATCAACGCATTTCGTAAATCGATCTAAGGGAAACTACAAAACCCCTCAAAAGCTGGAATATGAACTAATATTGTTTTTATTTCCGTTGTCAATTATTCTGCTTGCGGTTGTGGGAATAATCTTAATTATTCCTAAAATTGGAATACAATATTGTGAATAATTAATAAGAGGGAAGACAAAAAAGGAGGAGAGTATGCAAAATATTGTATCAGCTTTAATTCAAATTTACTTGTAAAGTTATTTGTTTCTCTTTTATATTTTTAAAAATTATATATGTTTAGACATAAACACATATATTTTTAGCGAAACGATAAGCAATTCGTTATTTTATTCTAAATTGAACTAACACGCTGTCATGTAAATTGTGGTCTTACTTTTTTAACAACTTAATTCTTTATCAAGCAAAAAACTTTACTTGTTTCTCCTGGTGCGATTCGTCACTACGTGTACTGCCGTTCAATGTAATTTCAAATCTAACGCGCCTTAAATTAAAAACTAAGTGGCAACTCTGCCGAAGGCGAAATTGACGAACGGTCACACTGGCTGTAAAAACGTAAACAATCTTGGGGCAACACGTGCATTTACTTCGTTCTCGTTTTATTGAATAAAAACAGTCTTAATAATGGAATTATTCACTGTAAATAGGTAAGTAAGGTGGAATATATTACCAACAATGATTACAACTTAGTACAACCCCAGATATACAGAGGATTTAAAGAAGCCCAAAGATGGAATCCAAGACACCGCCAACAACGAGGATGAAATACTTCAAAAATTACTCCAAAAGGCTGCCAAACGCAAGAGGAAACACAAAGAAATTGAAGTTACAGAAGCGCCAGTCACAGAAAATGTTGTCCCAGAGGAAACGGAGATTAAATCCACTGAGGAGCAGAAGGAAGAACTTGAAAAACCCCAAGAAATCGATGAGGAGCCCTTGCCCTCCAATGAGTTTCAAGTTCTTGGTGGCGATGGTTCGGCGGCCAAGAAAAAGAAAGTGGAGATGCAGCTGCCCAGTTGGCTAGCTCATCCGACGATCATCGAAGGTGGAATCCTTCAGCCCGAGGAGGAAATACCCGCTTCCGAGGCCATTGATCAGCTGGAATACCTGGAAAAGACCACCTGTATGGCTCTTAAGCAGATGAAGATCAAGCGCTTGTTTCCTGTCCAGCGGCAGGTCATCCCCTGGATTCTGGAGGCACATGCCAAGCCAGCACCCTTTCGTCCACGGGATATCTGCGTATCTGCTCCCACGGGCAGCGGAAAAACCCTGGCCTTTGCCATACCCATTGTCCAGCTGCTGAAGCAACGTGTTGAGTGCAAAGTTCGGGCTTTGGTCGTTCTACCAGTGGCCGAGTTGGCCCTCCAAGTTTTCCGGGTCATCAGTACGCTGTGCAGCAAAACGGAACTGGAGGTTTGCCTGCTGTCCAAGCAACACAAACTCGAGGACGAGCAGGAGAAGCTGGTGGAGCTGTACAAGGGCAAATACTACTCCAAGGTGGACATTGTGGTAACCACACCAGGTTAGACAAATAACCAAACCCTTAAACTATTTTTTATATAAAGAAAATGTATTATTTTAGGTCGCCTGGTTGACCATCTGCATGCCACCAAAGGCTTTTGCCTGAAGAACCTTAAATTCCTGATCATCGACGAGGCCGATCGCATAATGGACGCAGTTTTCCAAAACTGGCTGTATCACCTAGACAGCCATGTCAAAGAGACCACAGATCAGCTGCTGGCCGGCACTCAAGCACCTCTGTGCTACGCCGAACTTCAGTCCAGCTTTGGCAAGCAGCCACACAAACTTCTGTTCTCGGCCACATTGTCACAGGATCCGGAGAAGCTTCAAAACCTGCGGCTCTTCCAGCCGCGTCTCTTCACCACCGTGTTTACCATGCCCGTGATTAAGGCAGTTACCGATGACGTTGCTGATCTGGAAGCAAATCAAGATCAAGGACAATTTGTGGGAAAATATACAACACCGGCGGAGTTAACCGAACAATTCTGTGTGACGGAGCTGCGGCTGAAGCCGCTTACCCTGTTTGCGCTGGTGGAAAAGTACCAATGGAAGCGGTTCCTTTGCTTCACCAACAGCACAGATCAGGCCAGTCGCCTGACGTTCGTGATGAAGTCACTCTTTCAGGGGACTTCCACTACTGTGGCCGAGTTGTCGGGCAATCTCTCGGCTCTCGTGCGAAAGCAAGCGCTCAAAGAGTTCGCAGCTGGTAAAATAAATGGACTGATCTGCTCGGATGCCCTGGCGCGTGGTATAGATGTGGCCGATATAGATGTGGTGCTCTCCTACGAGGTGCCGCGCCACATCAAGACCCACATCCATCGAGTGGGACGAACGGCTCGAGCGGGAAGAAAGGGTACCGCTGTCACCCTGCTCACCGAACAGGATCAGGCTGCGTTCAAGAAAATCGTCAACGATGTGGGCAAGGGACTGGGCGAAGAGATCCACGTTTCTCCGGACATTGAGATCCAGCATGCAGTTAACTACAAAAAGGCTTTGGACCATTTGCGTGTCTGGCAGCAGAAGGAGAAGGCTCAGAAGGCGGTGCAGAAGAAACGAGTGGCCACTCAAGCTTTGGTGCATAAAAAACAAGAGGCCACTGCCACGGATCGTCCTTTGACGGTCATGGAGAAGCTGCAGCTCAAGGCGGGTGTGGCTCAAACGGAAGGTCTCGCCAAACCACAGAGCAAAAACCCCAACGCAAACAAATCAAAGGCACAGCCCAAGGAAACAAAGAAGCAACGCATAGCCAAAAAACGAAAGGACATCGAGAACTAAAATTTGGATTATGTTATTTTGTTAGTTTATTTAAATATATACAAATGTAAATAACAATTTAAATGTTTTTGTGTATAGCGTGATGGCTTCTTCGGGGTCTTCGGGAGCAGCTTCTTATCTCTGGGGGCGCGAGTGATTCCCAGCAGGTTCTTCACCGCAATCGGTGTTTGGTTACCCTATATAAAGGTAGTTTAATGTCGTGAGTATATTAGACAGAGTATACCTTTGAAAATTATACATTCTTATGAATCAAAAATTTTGGAATATTTTATTTCAAAATAACTTTAACAAAATGTTCTTATTTATTATTTATTTAATATTTAAAGAATGAACTCTCGACTTTTTTAAGTTATCTTATTTAATTTAGTAATAAAATATTACGCTTAGTATTAATTACATAAAATTGAATTTGGAATGCAATTTTTTTAGAACCCCATCTTACTTATTATCGGTATTATTTATTTAAAGAGTATCTAACATTTCGAGTCTTTTAAAAACCTATATTTTGCTATTTAAGCAGCCTCCGTAAGCGAGAGAATTTTATAGAACCACCAATCTCGTAACGATGAACACATCGACGGCAATCAAGTTTGTGGCTGCTCTGGCGCTCATCTCCTTGGGTAATCAATCAAACTTGCCCTATACCTAAACAACGATTCGCTAATCACAATCTCTTCCCCGATCAGCTCTCTCCGCCGATGCCCTGCAAATTGAGCCCCGCAGTAGTTGGGGAGCAGTGGCCGCGCGTTCCCCATCGAGGATCTCCGGTGCCGTGGACTATGTGATCATCCATCATTCCGACAATCCCAACGGATGCTCCACCTCCGAGCAGTGCAAGCGCATGATCAAGAACATTCAGTCGGATCACAAGGGTCGCAGGAATTTCAGCGATATTGGCTATAACTTTATAGTGGCCGGCGATGGAAAGGTGTACGAGGGACGTGGCTTTGGACTCCAGGGATCGCATGCTCCTAACTACAATCGCAAGAGCATTGGCATCGTTTTTATTGGCAATTTCGAGCATACTGCACCCTCGGCCCAAATGCTCCAGAATGCCAAGGATCTGATCGAGCTGGCCAAGCAGCGTGGTCACCTCAAGGACAACTACACGCTCTTCGGGCATCGTCAGACCAAGGCCACCTCCTGCCCGGGTGATGCTCTCTACAACGAGATCAAAACATGGCCCCACTGGAGGCAAAACTAAGTTCATAGTTATATTTTTTGTAATTGCTATAAAAGGTCATAAAATAAATGTAAGTAAAGTAAGCTCTAAATAGATCAAATTATATTAAATTGAAATATTTTTAAATTATAATTCTTTATACTTATTATTGCGATTAAATAAAATATAAATTTTCAATTCAATTACGTTTTTAAATTTGAAAATTTAAAGCCTTAGACAAGTTGGTGTGGCAATATTAAAAAGAAAGTAACCCAAACACTTGATAAGTTATTGTTTAATTAATTTATTTATTCGTATTTTTTCTATTATACAACTAATTATTTACATTAATTTGGCTAGGGATAAGGAAAGGTTTAAGAGAATTATTGGAAGGTACAAGATGAAGAACTTGAAAATGTTTGGATAGAAATAAGGGCCCAATCTCCATTAAAATGTAGAAGTACTTAATATATACGATGGTATGTTATGGGAAATGATTCCCTTAGAAACCTAAGGTTTTGGCTGCCAGCGAGGCCACTTCTTAAGCTCGTCTAGAAGATGTTTTCCCGGACAAGCTGTTGCCTTCGTTTGGCAATGTCCCACGAGAGAATAATTGGGCAGAACCTGGCGACGCTGGACGGCGATTTGGATGAGGGTGCGGGCAGCTTGCAGCATCTGGGGAGGAGGTAGTCCATCTAAAGGAGGAATTAATTTATTAAAATATCAGTTATTAAAACACACTACAAATAACTCACTCTGGAAATTGCCAATAAAGGCGATGCCAATGGATTGGCTATTATAGTTGGGAGCATGTTCGCCGCGGACACCGAAACCCAAGCCTTCGTAGATCCTACCATCCCCGCCGATAAGGAAGTTATAGCCTATATCCCTGAACTTCCTGCGCATATGATCGTCTCGAATTCGCCTCAATGCCAACTGACATTGCTGAGGATTGAAGCAGGGAGCCGTGACCGTGTGATGGATGATGATCAGTCGAACGGGCACCATGAGCCTTGGCAATCTCGGCGAGATCGGCACAGGACACCAGCTCCTGCGGGGAACAATCTGGCCCAAGGCCAAAGTGAAACCAAATAAGAGGAGTGCCAACTGAAGCTTCATATTTACTTCTCGATAGTCTTTCAGCTGCTGATCTTCTATTTATATAGCCAACCGAAATATCTCGCCCAGAATTACTCTATTTACTCAGTTGTTTTTCGATCAATGGGTTCGATCAATGAATTGCAGCATAATTAAATGGCCAGAAGCCTTTGTCTGGTTGCAAATTCCGCTTGCGTCATCCCTATAAAGATATTTATATATATTTCTTCTTTGGGAATGCAAATCTGCCCTTGGACGAGTGGGTGGCCCAAAAATGGTAGGTCATCCGTACAAGGGGAACTGCATTTGAAAGTCAAATCCAAACGGTTGGCTGCTATAAAAGCCACTTGGATGAGCTACAAGTGGACAGTGGCCAGTGATCGAGTGGCCCAGGTAGTAAACCCAGCTTATCCTCAAACTATGAAGATGGTGAGTATCCTTAAGGATAACTATACTTTAAATACAGTAACTAAATATTATAATATTCCAGTTTCTAGGAACCATGTTGGGCTACTTGCTCCTAGGAGTGGTTCTGTCCCAAGCCAGCTTAGCAACTGCCACAACTGGAGTGGTTCCGGCCTATCATGCCGCGGTTCCAGCTGCGATTCCCGTGGCCACCAGTCACCAGTTTGTCACCCGTAACTGGAATCGAGTTTATGTGCCACCCACCACGGTGGCCACTTATCCGAACACCTACGTTAAGTACAGCGGGGGATATCCCGCCTATCCCACCTACACCTATCCCTATGCTTCCACCTATCAGTACACATATCCCTACTACTATCCCACATATAATTATGGATATGGCTACAAGGGTGTCTGGTGATAGTTGTATCGAAAAAGGGGGTATTATGTATTGACCCCACCCATAAGATATTGTGATAATAATCAATACCAAAAGTCATTATTTGTATATGCCAATGGAAATATATAAAACCTTTATATCAAATTTTGTTTGGTTTTGTTGCACTTTTTTTAATATTCGGATATTAAATGAAAGTTAAAGCAAATATTTGAATCATTTAAACATAATATTTGTAAGAATATTTAAAAATTAATGTGCCAAATATAAATTCAATATTTTCTATTAATTTATTAATTCGTTATTTAATCATGACACAATTTTTGTGGTTAACCAACTTGTAATTTTGTTTATAAAATTAAATATTTAAAAAAACAGATTTTTAGGTTTTTTTTTAAACGAAAAATGGTGCTGGTCCTGCAGTGGCAATAAAACGAGTTGGTTGAATGAGACGACCGCCAGACGCAGGGAATGGACTAGCAGCCAGGATGCGAGCAGGAGCAGTCGGAGCAAAGGCGGCGTTAAATTGGTTGAAGTAGTCCAAGCGCTGGCTGCTCGAAATAGCCAGAGGTGAAGCTCCCAGAGGAGCAAAGGGACCAGCAGCATAGGCCGCTGCGAAAGGAGCAGCAGATCCTGGATAGAATCCGAAAGGTGAGCCCGAAGGAAAGAAGGTCGGATCAACAGCTGGCTTGGCTGCCACACAGGCCAACAGTCCCAGCGAAACAATAATCAACTGAAATGAGATATTCTTACACATCCTTATTAAGAATCCCTAAGTATCTGCTCACCACTTGCTGCATTTTGAAAAGATTGCTGCTGTTGCAGAGTCTAAAAACTGAATATGCATTCGCTTGGAGCGACTCTTTGGTTTTATAGTTTTTGGGAGTAGTAGAGCACAGCTGGCCTGCCTAATCGACGCTCCAAAAGTGGCCTAAATGGTGGGTCTTTTCAAAGCAGCAACAAATTTGCAAGCGATCCTATATGGTTATGTGTACCACCTATATTTATGTTACGAAACTCACATTCAAATAATCAATATGCGTCTGTACATTATGGTGCTGCAACTTCTTAAGTTATAATCTATATTAAAAATAACCAAATCCCTTAAATAAACAATTTTACTCATTATGCTTCTCACAGTTTAATTGATAAAACAAAATGATGAGACAAAAACCAATTAAAACAGCTCTTGCACGGAGAGTCCTGACAATAACTATCGTATTCGTATAATTGCATTACATATAAGAATATGTTTGTATATTTAATTATCGTATATTATTATTTAGCTGCTTGGGAGTTACTTGATCGTTCAGTTTCAGTTGATCGTTCCGTTACGTATAAATATATATATATTTATATATGTGTATAAGGTAGTTAAATCATAAAACACTTTGCCGTGGAATTAAACTAATTAGTCGTTAGTTAACTATGTAATCAATCAATCAATCATAAAAATGACGCTTGTAGTAGGCATAAACATAAACGTATCCTAGGAATATATGTAGAATTGTATGCTAGCACAATGGTTGCACTTTGGATAAATCGTTATATGGGTTAGACGACATCTAGCATAGGCAATTAATTAGTTGCTTTCGTTAGTTTGATCGATTCGCAGATCGATTGATGATTCGGGGTGTGAGTATTTCATTATCTGTCGAGTGTGGAGTAGCTTTAACAAACGCTGGTTCTCGATTACATTTTTCCTTGTGGATATATCTATATATACATTCTGTTTCAGGATCTGATCTCTTTTGGATTGGGAGCGAGAGAATCCTCTGCAGTCCTCGAGGGAGTGTTACGATATTGCGAGATTAAATGGCGATTGAGTTGACTAGATATATGTGGCGAATTATATATCGTATGGATTCACTTCTTCTGTTCCCTGGACTGCTCCTCGTCCTCCCAATCCTCCGGATCCTACCACAGCACATCGTAATCGTACACATGCTCCGAGGAGGCAATGATCAGACACTTGAGGAAGTCATCTAGGGTGCGCTTGAGTTTCCATTTCTTCGGCTTCCGCAGCCACTGCTTCGTCTTGGCTTTTGGCTCGTGCCAGGGACTCGTGGATGTTGATGTGGAGATGGATTTGGTCATGGGCTGTGGATTCACTTGCTCCTGAGACGGCTGGACTGGCAGATTGCAGTACACATGGCGGTTCAGACTCTGCCGCAGGCTCTGCAATCGCTGCTGCTGGTAGTAATGATTGAGATTGGTCAGAAATGAAAAGTCCGTGTCGTTGACCACATCGATCTCCGCATAGTTGTGGCCATCGACGTCCGGCTCCCGACGCTGCTGCCCCGATGCCTTGGCAAAGAGTTGGTCAAATCACATGTTTTCATCGAACTTGGCAAAGTTCGCGTCCTCGCTCCACTGAAATTTGCCCGTCTCCGCCTCGTCGTTGTGCTGATCCGCCGCCTGATCCTGATCCGGTGATTTGAAGAACTCATCGTCCTCGAAGGGATCCTCCTGCTTTTTGGCAAATATATTAACAGACTCTGATTTCTTGATTAGCTCCTGACGCTGCTGCAGCTTGCTGGATCGCATATTCTGCTTCCTGCTCATGGCACCCGATCCTCCAGCTCCTCCAGCTGTTCCAGGAACCGCTTGTTCCTTCTCGAAATCAAATGATGCCTTGGCGAAATCATCCTCAAAGGCAGCATCATCGAATTGGGAGACCTTAACATTGTCATCGAATCGCAATTTCTGGGTAATTGGTGGCGTCGAGGTCGGCGGTGTTTCCATTTCGAACTGCTCCCGTTTCTCGCGATCCGAGAAATCGTTGGAGAAGCGGAAAAGGCTCTTCGAGCCACCACCGTTGTTTGCATTCGCTGAAACTGGACCAGCTGGAGTTGAGTTACAACTGGAGGCCGTGCCTGCTGGCGCCGGCGGCGGTGAGCTCTGATTGAAATCCGACTCGAAACCATCGTCGAAATTGAACTTGGAACTGGTCACCCCGGCGGAGGATTCGCCGCCACTCATCATCAGGCCACCGGGTCCAGTGCTGCTGGCATTCGAACGCGGCGTGGGCGTTGGAGTTTGCTCATAGCTGTCCACAAACCCGTAATCACTGTTCACCACCACGCCACGTGTGCGATTCTGGCCGGGAAGCTTGGCCAGCGATGGTGGCTGATGGCGTTCCACATGCCGACGCTCGGACTCCAACATCCGCTGGTGCATCTCATGTCGCCTGCGGTTCAATCTCTCGAATTTATCCTCATCTGTTGGCGGTTCATCGTCCACATAGTCCTCATCATCATCATCATCGTCGTCGTCGTCGTTATTGTTGCGCTGACCTGGACACATGTAGTCGTAGTTATCCCGGATGCCACGCCCATAGGCTGATCGGGATGGTGCCGATGTGCCTGCGCTGGAAGCGCCCACTGTGGCTAGATCTTTGGTGCTGCGAGCGCGGGTCTTCTTGCGGAATCTGCTGGGGATTTGGGTATTTATTAATATATATTTGGTTACTATTTTAAATACCCTTCTAACCTTCGTTCTTTTTCCCCATCTGAAGGAGTTTGACCCAAGGCTGCGGCCCTGCGACTCTCGGCCAGACGTCTTTCGGTATCAGCGGCACTAGCTGGACGTTTCCAGGATTTCTGGCCAGGCAGGGCGGGCTCTGCAATGTAAAAAAAGAGAGAGAACGCTATAGTCGGGTGACTCGAAAAAACTTTGATCGGGCATAACTTTTTAAAGAATGGTCCGATTTGAAAAATTATTTGAAAATGTTACATTTCGATAGGTATTGATAAACACCATAAAACTGTATTTTTACTTTTCTGAAAACTTGTAAGGTGTAGGCGCCAGAAACCTTTTAAAATCCTTTGTGGGCGTTAGAGAGGGCGCGGTCCTCGGCTGAAATAAACTTGCGCTGCGTAGGAAGCCAAAGAATATGTGTGGGAAATCACAACTTTCTAGCTTTTGTAGTTCCCGAGATCTCAGCGTTCATCTCAGCTATATTGACTCGGCTAGTGATCCTGATCAAGAATATAAATATTTTATAGGGTCGGAAAAGCTTCCTTCTCCCTGTTACATACTTTTGCACGAATATAATATACCTTTTACTCTACGAGTAAGGGGTATAAAAAGAAGTAGCATAATAACATAATATCCTATCTTATACTCTTTTACCTTCGCCGTCCCAGGGACTTGAGCCGCTGCTCTTGCGCAATCGCTGCGGACCCACTGGCGCATTGGAGGGCAGCACCACATCTCCGCCCAGCTGACTGGGACGCTGCAGACTCCGAACACCCGATCGCTGCTGGAAGTCCTGCTCCGAGTCTTGCTCGTAGTCAATGTCGCCACTGATCCTCAGCTTGCCCGACGTGGTCGTGGGTTTTCTCAGTGAGCGGGTCTTTATCTGCTCGCGATCCCGTTCACGATCCCTCTCCCTCTCGCCACGATAATCATCGCGACTGTCCAAACTGCCATAGACATCGTTTCCACTGCCGAAGCTACGCCGTCGCCGGTTGGCACTCTCATAGGACTCGAGACTCTCGCGGTCGAAGGATTTGCGTTCACGCTCGCGATCTCTATCCCTTTCCCTGTCGTACAGGTAATCACCGCCACCCCTGCCCGGCTTATAGGCCATTGGCGAACGTCCTCCGCGCTCCTCGTAGACATTTTCATAGTCGAAATCGTAGCTGGGACGACCATAGTCCCGGTACTCCCTGTCGCGATCGCGATCCCTGTCCCTGTGATCGCCGCGATATTTGTTCCTCAGCTGGCCACGTTTGTCGTAGATGGGCGGTGGTGGCCCATAGCTCGATCGCTCGTAGGCGGCACGCTCAAAGGATCGAGCTCGCGCCTGTTCGATCTCCTGCGGCGACCAGGTGTGATGCGCTGGATGATGGTACCAGCTGGGGGATTCTATGGCGATTGTGGGAATAACATTAGAGATAAGTTGGGAAATTTAACTTTAATAGAGCTCACCTAGATCAAAATTATCCCGACTGCGGGAGAGACCGTGCTTGAACTTCCGCTGCTGCTGTTGCTGCTGCTGCTGATCCCGTCGTGCCATGAACTCCGCATCGTAGCTGAAATATTTAAGTGTAAAGCAACCATTTTAAAAATATATTGGCTTACATTTTTAATTACTATTATATTATTATATCTAATAACATCTAATATCCAATAGATAGATATTATCTATACAAATAAAATGTAATATGTAATCCAAAGAAATTATTGAAAAACTTCAACTTCTTTGTAAGAACTATATATTTAACTGTCTACTGTGCTTAGTTTATCAATATTCTTAGCAAATTAATTAGTATCTAATCTAATTTGTAGCCTAACAGTGTATTTAATATTATATCACACAAAACACATTTAAACCATTCAACTCACTAAGCCTGTAAGTTTGGATTTAATTATTTTCTAATTATTCGATTCCAATTACGTTCAGATATAGTTTTTAAAATCAGCCAAAATCTAAATTAATTTAAGCTTATTCCTTTACTTACTCGTAATCCTCGTCGCAGGAGTTCATCCTCCTGGCGTGCCGCATATAGTAGCCATGTCGATCTGTATGCTGCTGCTGTGGCGGCATTTGTGGCTGCTGGTGAGGATGAGCCATTTGGGCGGCGGCCAACTGCCGGCGCTTCATATACTCGGGCGTTTCATCATCCCAGGGACTGAGATCTCGGGAGGACGAGGAGGTCTGCTGGCGTTCCTTCTTCGCCCAGCGACGCTGTTGCTTGGACCAGCCGTCATCGCGGGGATCCGAGCTGCATGGCGATTCCACCGTGTCCGGCTGCGAGGTGTTCGAGGCAGGAGGCGGTGGCGGCGGCAGCGTCAGCCTGGCCTTGCCCTTGGCCTTCGGAGAATCGAAGGTGGCCCAGGAAGGTGGTTTCTCCTGGCGCTCCTTGTCGCCGCCCATCATCTGCTTGGTCGCCGTATCAATGAGTTGGGAGACCGCTGAAAGTTGTGAGGGCACTGGCGATGCAACCATCACTGGTTTCTGGAGAGGAATGGGCGAGGTGCTGACATCATTAAACTGCGAGGGCGTGTGCAGGCCGGGAGCTCCTCTGGATGGAGCTGCCGAGGAGGTGGCCGGTGAAATGCGATCCCTCGAATCCAGGGAAAGATTCGAAATTGCCCGATGCATCAGCTCATCGATTTCGATATCATCTTTGGTTCCCCCTCCCGGTGCAGTGAGTACGGATAGGAATTTCTGATCCTGCTTGGGCGGCAGAGATTGCTGCTGCTGCTGCTGCACATCCTCCATCACCGGAGCACCTGCATCCAGTTGCTGCGTCGAGGTGGAAAGCTTTTCATACTGATCCTGCCCGCTGACGGGTTCCGCATCCTTTTCGTTGCTATCCAGGCTGCTCTCGCCACCCGCATCTGCATCCTCCTCGTCCTCGTCATCGTCGCCCACCGTCAAGGCGGAGGATGAGGGCTCCGTTGGGAAGCCCCGGCTGTCGACCAAACCATGGCGATCACGCGAATGCGTCGGCACATCCTGATGATCCATTATTTGACGCAGGTCATGATCTTCGTTAAACTCATCGCTGAACTCGGGAAAGTCCTGCAGTAGATCCTTTTCCTTCTCCGGTTGAATGGCCGCTGCAGTCGCCGGTTTGTCGAATAGGTTCTCCACCAGGATAATGTCTCTTAGGGCTGCATAACGATCCTTGGCCTGGGCCACCACCTCGGTGATCTTGGTGTCAATCTTGGGCGCTGCCTTCACCTCCAAGGCATCAATCGGTAGCTCAGCACCGGCACTGTTCAGCTCCAGACCCTCTAGGCCCATTATTTCCTTGGCCTGCGTCTCATCCACTGGCGGTGGTGTCAGATCTCCCATGAGATCCGTCTCCTGCTGCTGCTGCAGCTCCTGATCGATGATCTCCCGAAATACAGCATACCGATCCGCCGATGGCACGGTGGCCACCACTGGCGATACCGCTGACACGGGCAACGGAGTGGGTGCGTCATTGAAGTTGGCGAAATTGGCCACAAAGGTGGAATCCGAGGAGCCCAGTTCATCCTCGCCGAAGGTATCATCGAACTTGGCCACAAAGGAGGTCTGCTGATCGAAGTTCACCTTGAACACAGCCGCTGTGGATTGCGGGGCAGGAACTTGATTCGCTGGCGAAGATCTCTTCTCCTGACCCTTTTCGCTGGAGGACAAATACTCGGAGAGATAGGCGGTCAACTGGACGAGCGTCATGGTGCTCAGCTTGCTGGCTGGGACGTTTAGTTTAATGGCCAGATCATCCATTCCCAGGGTCAGCAGTTGAGTCAGCGTGATGTCGGGAGCCAAAGTGGTGGAGGTTACCTCCTGGCATTGGGATTGTGCCTGCGCTTGAGCTTGAGCCTGCAGAATTTCCGCCTTGTTCTCGTAGATATCCTGCGGCCTGCCCAGCGAAGACTGCCGCTGAGGTCTCGCCCGAGCCGAAGATCCCTGGCTGGGAGGCGGCAGCAATGGCGGCGGAGCTCCCAGCGGCGCCAGGTAGTCATCTTCGGTGTGTCCCGGTTTTCTGGGTCTTCCTGGTCCGGGGAAACAACCATCCGAGCGTCCCACACGACGCGATGGCAATGGAATGGGTGGTGCATCCACAGATGACAGAGTTCTCCGCGCTGTCACACTGCTGTTCAAGTACTCGTATCTCCCAGCCGTCGGCGGTGGAGTTGGATTTCCCGCCGAAGGTCGAATGACCAAATCGCTGAACTGCTTCTTCGGCGGCAGCGGCGGCGGTTCGGAGTAGGGACTCGAATCTGGACGTGGCGGCGGCTCGGGAGCAGCCTCCGTTTCACTCAGCGAATCGCTCTCCTGCAAACGTCGCATATTGACACTCGAACCGATATCCGAACCGGATTTTCCAAACGATCTGGCCTGGCCAAAGAGATGGGGCATCTTCTTGTTGCTTATGCTGGAGATCACATCGAGGGCACCAACGCCACTTGGCAGGGCGGAAGCGGAGGCCGTCGGACGATTCCTCACCGTACTCGGCGGCGGCTGCTGAAGCTGCAACTCCTTCGCCTCCGGCGGCAATTGCACCTGCAGCGGTCCATTGAATACATTCGCCTTGGGTTCTGGCACCGAGGGAGCTGCAACCACCGGCGGAGCCTCGAACTCAAAGGCATCCAGCTTGGCAAAGAGATCGCCCTCTTGAAAGGGATCCGGGTCGCTCTTTTTGCGCGTCGGCGAAAAGGGATCAGTGTCCCGGGGCAGGAGTACAGGATCCGCCGGCGGATGAGGATCCTCCAGCGAGGTCAGCGTGTTCGGCGGTTCTGTGGTATAATAGTGGCCGGTGGGATTAGGCGGATTAGTGACATGGCCAAGCAACAGTTTCAGCTCAGCGCTCGGCGTGATCGGGTGGGCATGGATGGATGTGGACAGGGTAATGGGAGTGGGAGCGGGAGAGGGTTGGGAATCGGGGTTGGTTAGGAGCTGGCCCAGATTGACGGCGGTGGTGCTAGTGGCGGTGGTGGTTAGTGTGTTAGCCGAGTTCTGGAGCGGATTTCCTGCGGTGCAAGTGCAAAGTTTAGAGAGCTGCTTACTCAATGCGATTTCTAAGTGCACAGAGAAAAAATATCACCGAAAGTTATCCATCAATTATGCATTCTTTCTTATCTAAAGTTGAAATAATATTCAAACATGTTCTAAAATAGCCAGATATTTTCAAATCAAAAGTTTTATGTCAATGAAATGTTGGGAAAATGTTATGAAAACTATTTAAGATCCCATATTTTGTTATTTATAAGTATTTACAAAAAAAAACTGGATGGATACTATCAATATAATGTTTTAAACTTTCTTAAAGTGAGATTTAAATATTTAATAACTTTAATTGATTAATTATTTCTCTTTAAAACCTTTTGAAATGCTTATCCATCTAAACTAATATAAAATTGGATCTCTAAAAAACGGTCAGTAGCAAATTTCTCCCAGAACGGATTGACATAAAAATCTAAAAAAAATCACATTAATTACTAAAATAATTAATTATAATTTTGGTGGTAAGTTAAAAAAAAAGCAACCGACATTTTTGCTCTGTGCGGAAATGGTGTTCGAGTTGAGGTTGGTTAGTACCTGCGGTGATGTTAGTAGCTGTGGTGGTTGTGGTGGAGATGGTGGTGCTTTCCTCCGCAAAGAGGCCATCCGACTGACCCAGGGAGAGACCCAGGCCGAGACCCGCCTGGCTGCCGGAGCTGAGCTCCTTGAGCAGCTTCTTGGGCGGATTTTTTAGCTCTTGGAAGAAGTATTTCTTATCGACATACGGCCTGGTGCGTCCAGTGCCCAGCGGATCCAGATCCGTGAACGCATCTGCACAATGGAACAGAAGGAATGAGCAAAAACGACAGAGATATCGCTCCAAATGAAGCGAATCCGAATTCCAAATTGGCACAAAAAATTAAAAGGCAATGGAAAAACTCAAAGAGCTCAGAAGTAAAGTTACAGTCCTTAGAACTTCGGTATGATCCGAAGATTTGAAAGCTACAAAACCCTAATTAGATGGTTATGGAATAAATATTATGTGAGTGGGTTTAGGATGAGCACTTAGGAAAATCACAGGTACAACTAAAAAATACTTAAAATAACTGGAAATGAAAAAAAAACGAAGCAATGGAAAGAGCTGTCTGAGAAAAAAATCCCCTTTAATATCATTAATGCATGAGGCTATTAAAAAACTGATTTAAAAGTAAGTACATTGTTATAATGTATTTACAACTCATAAAAAAGTTAAAAAAATGTATGGGAATACCTATCGCAAAAGATTAAAAATGTAATTATAATGACACTATTTTTTAAATAGCTTTTACTCAAAAGAATCTGCACAGAGTTCTACACCCAAAGATTCCATTCAGTTCAATTAATTTGACCCAAGAACACTCCCGTTTGTTCCCTTGTCGGGCGGACACAACTTGTTCCCCTGAACACTCCCCAAAACGATCACAGACAGCTCTTTCATCGCTTTAATGGGGATGACAAAGCGACGGAATTCCACACAAGATGTGACAACTTCAATGGGACAAGGAGCGATGTTCTTTTCACAACTCACCCAAAGACAAGATGGCCGAGGCCAGCTCTTCATTTCCCGATGTCGAACCCAAACCGATATCCAAATCAGCTAGAGGTCCTGCTGATCCTGCGGCGACTTCCGTTAGTTGTTGTGTGGGCGTGGCGGTGGATTCGCTGGAGGCCAACGGAGCCATGGTTAAAACCGATCCCAATCCACTGCTGCCCACCACTTTGCTTGTATCGAAGACATCGTTCTGTTGGTCTAGTTCCTGTAGCCAATTGTCATCGTCGTTGTCGGCAGCTTGGAATCCTGCTGTCGCTGGAGATTGAGAGCTACCAGGAGGTGGCGGTGAGAGCATAGCATCCAAACTGGCCACCGCCTCTGGTGTTTTGTTGGGCGGCTTGTGTCTGTTGCGTCCGGAATCTGGCGGCGGTGGCAGGATGCTGTAGGAGGGCACATAGATGAAGGAATCTCCAAACGGATCATCCTCGCTTGCTGATTTGGCCAAGGAGGGATGGCCGACACCACCACCACTGGAAGACAAGGTGGTGGGTTCATTTGGCGTTATCCGTTCCATCTGACTGATTCCACGCTGCAAAGAAGTAAGCTCCTGCTCGAGATCCACCAGATCGGCCACGGATTCGGGTGAGATCTGTAAAAATTTTAGGTTTTATTAGCGTGAATCATTCAATTTTTGTTTTATCATAGTAAGCCATGAAATTTCTGATTTGTTTAATTAAATTCTAAGTTAAATAATTGGAATGTTTCTCTAATTCATTTCAAATTGAATGAATGAATGAAAAATTTGTATGAATTTGTTGAATTTGCCAGATTTTTTTTGTGCTTTCTTTTGAGAAATTTTTTAATGCTTAGAAACTGCCTAGAAAATAAAATTCATGCAAATTGTCGTTTGAATTATTTCGGAATTAATGCCATTAATTCATTTAATTCTATTAAACTCAAAATTCAAATTTATTTAATTCTATTTTAATAATCTCAAATTTCTAATTAATTCATTCTTATAAAACAAAAAATTCAAAATAATTCATTGAATCCATTCATGCAGTGCTCTATTTTCAATTAACTAGGAAACTTACCTCTTTGGCCGCCGATCCCGATGCTTTGGCCACGTCCAGATTCACACCCAATCGGCTGAGGGCATGGCTGGAGGAGAGCCCACCGCTGGCCAAATCCGAGTGACCCAGACCACCCAGGCCACCCAGACCGGCGGACTTCAGCGACGACAGGGAGGCCAGCTGGCTGGCGTGGTCGTGCAGGGACTTGCCCTGGATCTGCTGGCGCGCCATCTCGATCTCCTTCTTCTTTAGCTCAAAGACCACCTGGAAGAGATCGCGCATGGCCAGCACCACCTGGCTGGCCGCCTTGTCCGTCTTGATGCCGAAGAATCGATGGCCGCTGTCCGGCGATCCGAAGATATAGCCAAAGGCCCGCGAATCCGTCATGTCCTGGGCGATGAAGGAGATCTTGTGCACCGGATGGTGGTACAGCGAGTCGCCCGTCTTCTCGTCCCTCAGGCGCAGCCCGTCGATGGTCACATGGATGGTTATCCGCTGCTTGTGCTCGCCAGCCGCCCGGATGGCCATCTTGAGGTCCTGCAGCGCCTCCTGGCACATCCGATCGCCACGAGCCTCGCCCACCTATAAATAAAAAATTAATGGATATTATCAGTATCTAAATTATTGTATTATATTTTAAAATTCACGCACCTCCAGAATGCCGATGAGCTTTGCCTTGAACTGAACGCCATCGCCGAAAAAGCGTCCCGGATCATTGCGATCTGGAAAAAAGCGGTGGAAAATCGAATGCCAGAATGAGTCTTTGTGTTTGCTAGGGTGTGTATTCGGTTCAGTTTTGTTTGGCGAAAATGATTTACATAGTGCAGTGGTCTTTCGCCAGATTTCGAAATATTCGATTTTCGGGGTGGGGCTAAATTAAATTTGGAGAACCAACTTTTTAATATGTTTTGAATACCTAATTTTTGAAACATTTCTTTTAAATTATAAAAACTAAAAATCATAATTTTACAATAGAACAGCAATTCTATTAAATCTAAAAAAATATTTAAAAATTGTCAACCAAAAAAAAAAAATAGGTACACAGAAACTACTCAATCTTTTGTCAAAATATTTAAAATTATTGTTGAAATATTCTAGAATGTGTTTATAAATATGGTTTTAATGAAGCGAATCCAAATACATATGTATGTATACAAATATTTTCAATGATTCATTTTCCAAACTATAGTAATTATGTGCTTGACTGAGCATTTCGGCTATTCTATTAGATCATCCAATATTTAAAACGATTTAAATTTAAGTTGAGCTTCATACACGCAAATGAAAATTTGTTTTCATGGTATCGACTGAATTCCTTTTTGTACTTAGGAACAATGTTGAGTTTTATTAATCCTCAGGGAACTATAAAAAAGTTTATAGTATAAACTTTGTACTGATTATTTTTTGTTATATTTGTAAACTTCATTAAAGTTTACTGTGAACTCTTTTGATATTTAATCTTGCTTTTATCAATGGTTTCTTCATTATATATTGATTGTATAATTTAAATATTTTTAATTTTTTGTTTCAAATTCTTGATATTTAAGAAGTATGATTTTATTTTGATTATTATTAATCCCATTTAGTTTTTTAAAACTAAAAATCAGTTGACGAATCTACAAAGGGTTTAATTGTTTTAATAAGCACCATCTAAGTATATTTATAGCTTGGTCTTATCAATGTAAAAAATATTAAAATTGCTGAACATTAAGATTGTATGTTTCAATGATGTTACATATTTTATAGTGATTAGACCGTTATTGTTCAAGTAAGCACAATGTTCACATTTTTAACTTTAGTAATTATAGTCTTGTCACTTGTTTCATTTCAGAAATAACATTCACTTTGATCTTTGAATAACTGGTTTGTGTAAATTAGTTAGTTCGTTGGTTTCTCTCTGTGCAGGGACCACTGTGTTTGTTTGTGATTTGTGTATTTGCTTAGTTTGTTTTCGCTAACGTTTTGCGTAATTCGTTTCCTCTGCCGCGCCGCTGCCGCCGCCAAAAGTGCTGGCCAACGAGAGATTCGAGGAGGCTGTGGACAACTTGGCCACCAGGGATTTGACCATGTTTCACTGGCTCAGAGGGAGCTGCTCGGCGGGAAAAGCGCTGCTGGCTGGCGGAAAACTCTGGAAGGCAGCAATTCTGGCTGGAACTCTGCTCACTGGAGTGTCAACAAATCTCTGTCGCATTCCTGGCCTCTATTTCGTGTGTATTTGTGTTGACATTTCCATGGGAGGATGATGTGGAGGGGGAGGAGGAGGAGGAGAAGACGAACAGCACACAATGGAGGACAAACAATATATTCCACAATGATTTTTCGCGACGCTGTAGGTTTAATTAAATTCTAGCGGAGAACGATTCGAGATCCGCGATCATGGAATGAATAAAAACGAATGAGCGTAAACACGATGCTCTCCCCCGTCTCTCTCTCTCTCGCTCGCTCTCTCTTGACTGGACTGTCGCAGTTTGTTTTGTTCAATCAAATCCAATAACAAACAAAAAACACACACACACACATCGGGGCACTCGCTAGTGTACACAGATTTCACTCTATTATTTAGTGATTTTCATGGCGAAAAATTAAGTACAGAAAACGCGGATCTCTCTCGGCCATTGTTGTTCTTTTTTGGGAAAACTGCAACAACACCTGCCGACAACTGCGACGCCGGCGCAGCAGCTGCTATTCGATTGACAGATGCTGTCTGAGACGCCTATCGATAGCACGGCTTAGAGGTGAAACACACGATCGATAGAAACTATCAAAATTTAAATAAATTCTATATATCTAGATTTTCTGTAGCTTATAAAAGCTAAGCAAATAATAACTTACATTTACAAGGACTCGTTTTCTTGCGCAGCGTCTGCATTTTGCTCAGAAAAAGCTGATTGGCATTCGTGTAGTAATTCCTTTGGCCGCGTATAATGTTGCGAATAAAGATTGTGCTTTATGAGGATTCGTATTATTTATGCCTAGATTCGTTGTATTATTTTTTACAGCTTTTTGTGCTTTGTTTACACTTGTCCTGCTCCTGCTGTTCGCGTCTGCTTTCTCGCTCGCACACTCCCTGCAGCCAGCTTGTTGTTGTTGTTATTGTGCCAGTCGGTCGATAGAACACACCGGCTTTTGTCTCACTCACACACGGCACGGATTATTGATTTTCCAACGGTGGCATCTGTGTGTGTTTACTTTGCCTACTTTAGGGCGTGGGAAAAAATACTACGCCTCTCATTATGCAGCGCTAAATTATGTATTTCCCACTAACCGTTATTCGTTGCTCGGTTTTTTCCGTGTCAATTGCACAACTTTCATAACTTTCTTTGTCTGGAGGAGCCAGGAGGAAAAAAAAGCAAGCACAAAGAAACAGTGACACACTCGCGATTTTGGCAGAGCGAAAAATGTAATTCGACTCTGCTGACTGCTATTTACACACTGATTTCTTGGTTTTCTCTGATCTCCATCTATTTGGCATTCGGTTCACACTAATTTTCATGGGTTTTTGGCTTATTTTTGGTCCTACGTCCTGGGAGCTGCAGGAAATGGACACACACCGAAAATTCGATAGTAAAAACTCCAAGGATTCGGGGGTGGTGGGTGAATGCCGGGGGCACCCTGTGTGGCAGCCGGTACAGAGGTCTATCGATTACTGATATAGCTTTCTACTCGTACTTGCGTTGTGGGACTGGAAAACCGTTAAAGTTTTTAGTTTGTCGCTGGTGGCGCATTGGCATAGGGAAGTGTTTAAAAATAATAGCCTCTTCCCATAGAGTCCATCCGTTTGAAACGGCTGGGATTTTTGACGAATGTGAAACTCGTGTTCCCACAGAACTCCATCCACTACCTACTATCCAATAACAGCTGACTGAGCAGTTGCTCAGCTCAACATTAACGATGGGAGATTTCAACTCGGGAAAGATGTCGTAAAATTGCGTCCTCCTGAGCCTTTTGTAGAATAATACAATAAATAGATTAAGATAATAGTAAAAAATTAAAAAAAGCTTAAATTTTGGCCCACTTATAGCTACCTGTTTGCGAACGCTTTTACGCTCATAACAAACTCCAAATAATTCAACAATAGCCAAAAATCAATGAGCCTAAGCATTATTAAGTTTTTTCCCGCCATCCATTTGATTTGTTCTCGCAGTCATCGTTCCATTTTTCACAGTCAAGAGGAAGAGTCCGTCAAAGTCCATTGGATGGCGGACTAACTGGGAAGTTTTCGGAACGGCAAAAAATTACGGACCATCCGTTCAACGGATGGTGGATGGAGCTCTGTGGAAAGACCCTATAAGGTTAACTTCAAAGATTTCTGCATCATTTATTTACGAAAACGCTGGATTTTCATCAAGAAACTGATTGATCAAGAAACTGATTGATCAGGAAAATGATTGAGCAACCATTGCGCCCATTGCGGCCAGAAAGGGAAGCCAAAAACCCTTGAAAACATCAGGGGGATTCCCTAAACTGTTGAATTGCTGAATTGTTGAATTTTGGTCAGCTGTTAATCAGCTGTTCCATACAAAGTCAACTTTCTGAAATATCAGCAATTCAACAGCCTCGGGGCTGTTGAAAATTTTGTTGAATTGCTGAAAAGCCAGAGCTGTCACCTTTTTTTTAAAAGTCGTGGCAACTCTGTAACATTTTAGTATCACCAGTACGCATTATTTATTTTAAAATTAACTCAGAAATCATATTTGTGGTTCTTTTTACCTTGGTAAAACTTTTAGACAGTAACTAGCAATAATAAATCAAATTTTACATGCTTTAAGTTCCGTGAAATTTTTCAACAAATAACAGCTGTTTGAAAATTCAACAGGAACCATTTTGGGTCGTTCCCTTAATTGCTGAAATTTTTTGTTGAATTTTCAACAATTCAGCAATTCAACAGTTTAGGGAATCCCCCTATCGATAACTATTGCTCTTAGGCTGCGGTCACCCTAGAGAGTTACTCTTATGCGCACTGTTAACGGCCATACGAAAACCACTCAATGCAGCTGTAGCTGAACAGACCCAAAATGTTAGCGCCTAATAGACTTAACATAAGACAAAGATTTCAGGGGATTTCTGCTGCGGTAACTCTAATTTGTGTGCGGGAAATTCAACGGATTTCAGGGGATTTCAGAGCGCTGCGGTCACTCTAATCGAACGGAACGAAACCTCTTCGCGGACTGTCGCTGTCGTTTTTCCCTGGTGTCGCGCCTCAATCAAACTCACCTTAAAAGGTAATGCACAGGCAGTAGATTACGATTTCTGGTGGTGTTATCAAAAATAACGGTGTTGAATCGAGTCATACGCCCCCGCCAGTCGCTCTTCCTCTTCTTTCCTTGTGCGCGCGTCCCTTGTTTTACCTGCAGCGCAGTCGCGACGGCTGAGAATTAATAAAAACCGGAGGGAAAAAGTGTAAATTGGAGCAAAAAAGTCGCTACGATCGATCGTCAGTTATTTATATAACGACAACAACAAAGCAAACCAGTTATTAGATGTTTTTGTGAATAGTGTGAAACAAATTCTCGGCCCATACCTGCACACACAACAAATACATTCCCATAGTTCCTATTCCGATCCGATCAGGTTCTCAAAACGCAGATCACAAGAAAATCCTCCGGAACAATATGCAAAATTGAGCCGAGTTTCTGTTTTTGGTGCGGAAATCGTGGAGTGCGGAAAAGTGTCGCCCGAAAGAGGAAAATTGCAGAGTTAACAACAATATCCTGTGTGTAAATAAAATCGCTTATACATACACACACACATACTCGAAGAAGAAAAAAACAAAGGAGGAAAAAGCGGCAAGATGAATAAAACCTGTGCGCGTTGCCAAAAGGTGGTCTATCCCATCGAGGAGCTCAAGTGTCTGGATAAGGTGAGTTAAACCTCGAATATCCTAGTTATCCTATTCGGATTCTGTACTAGTTTTGCTAGCTCCTTTTTGCGTTTTGAGCCGCTGTTTCGTGCACTTGTTGCGGGCGCTAGAGCGAGACGGCTAGCTGGCACATGGCCGTGGGTTCTGCTCTCCCGCTCCCTCTCCCTGATCTTCCCCCCATTTCCCATTCCCCATTGATCATGCGTGCCTTTTTGTTGCTCTGCTTCTTCTGTGTTTATTATCCTATGCTTAATAACCGCAAAAGTTGTTTGGCTGCCTTTCCATTCGCTTCGCGGAATTCAAATATTTACTGGAAAATAACGGCGCAGCTTCGCGCGTGTCTGTGTGTGGGTGTAATAGCACTATTGCACTGCGAAAAACAAATAGATCATTGGATTTTTAAAGATATATATTTTTTAGAAGAGACTAATAATATAAACGAAACGGTGCCTAATTTCTTTTGATTATATTCAGTTAAAAGAGTTTTAAAACATATATCAAAATTAAAATAACAAAAACATTATGATTTCTGCAACAGAAATGACTGATCACTAAATACTATATTAAGTCATATTTAAATATTCTTTTCGTACAGTGTAAAGTGCGCGGGTGGCGACAACAACTATAATGACTGTTTTCATATTTTTCGCCAACTCAGGAAATTTCTACAATTGCTTTTAATTTACGTTTGCCGCCGCCGCTTCCGCTGGCAGAATTTTCGGGCTCCCTCTCTAATTATGTCTCGCCTTCTCTTTCTTGCGGCGGCGCTTGTTGCATTTCAGTTTTTGCGATCTTGTGTCTTTTTTTCAGTTTTAGTTGCAGCTGCTTTTGTTGTTTTTCATTTTGTTGTTGTCTTTCGAAAAAGCAACAAAAGCAAATCCGTTGACCGACCTTGAGCGCATATTTTCGAGACTTGAGACCAGTTTTTTTACTGCGTTCTCTCACACACTTAAACCCAAAATCACATACAGTGGTATTCGCAAAATTAGCAGCTGGCAAAATACAACATTTCACAATTTTACGATATTTTCTGTTCGAATGGCTGATATGGGGTGATCTAGTAGATTTTTTCTTATCCATTCTCATTGAATTTGATTTTATAGTTACAGTCAAACATCCCTAATCCAAATTTCCAAAAATTAGAAGAGATTAGCAATATGTATTATACTTTTTCGTGTTCTTTATAGATCTAGTTTAATTTTTCTTAAACTTTATTTTTCTCGACTTGAGAGCTCTTTCTTCAGGCGGCTTAAAATCATCCTATAACTTTGCGTAAATTAAATTCTAATTAAAAGAGGTACTTACAGTATTAATATAAGCTCAATTTGTTTACAATTGGAATAACTATTCATTTTTCCAACTAATTTGCTTAGCACAGCTGTAAGTGCAGGCAAAGTGGGGCTTTCGTTTCTGATTTTTGTCGTGCCCATGTCTTATTGGTTTATGCTTAATTCCAGTTTATTTATATTGAACTTTTGTTTGCCTCTAAGTCGGGGACTTGAGACAAAGGCCCTTCTTTATTTTAGTTCCATTTTTTTTGCCCTTGGCTTGGCTGTCTGTCAATCTGTGTTTATGTTTTGAGGGCCTGGTGTTGGCTGTTCCGATGAAATTTGGAAGCTGATAACGCACCAATCGAGACAAACATTTACATTACGAATCGATTCGGTTCCCCCCTTTCAAATAGAATTGAATCCATCAACAAATTCCGATTGGCAATCGGAGCTTCGAGTATCAGCGTTGAAACGTGTCAATCTCCTCCGCTATAAAGTCCCCCCTCGCCGGCAACCACGTCCTAATTATAGTCTCGTCTTTCTAGAGTTTCATCTTCCCGCTCCCCAGTCAGCAGTTTCTAATTATAGACAATGGAGTAATGAACACTATTTTAAAGTCACAACAGCACAGCAGACGCACTGAAGTCGGTTATAAAACATTTATATGCGTCTGCGTGTGTTTTTCGCCTAATGGAAATGCTGAAACTTGTAAACATGGCATTTGATGAAACGGGAAGAAAGGAAGGGGTCTGAAGTTGGAGGAGTATAAGTTTACCTTTACATTAAATTGCATTAGTTTTCTTGTGTAGTTTCGTGTTTAACTTCTGTTGCCGGGGTGTGTCTGCTGGATTGCGAAATAATTTAAATGCATGCATTTCACAACAGTCTATAAAGTTGAGCAATAGAACGCCGCCATTAAGGTCAGAGGCTTGACAAAATAAATGATTGCTATGCAGAGGGGATCAATCATTTTTTTTTGCTTTACTGCCTGAGCGCTTAACTAATTGAGGGAGTTTTTGTTGGAATTTATATATTTGGATTGGATTTTGTCGAGTCTGTATTTTTTAAAATTTCGTGTAGAAACAGGGCAATAAAAATGTTTATAAAAATTGTGGAGCACTAGAAAAAATTAATTGTTTTATTGAACTAAAATAATACCGCGAATAAAAAAAAAATTTTTTTTTAGAAATAATATTTTAAATATTTTTCTCCATTTAAAACTCGTTTACTTGCATTTTATGGCAATTCAAAAACCCTGACTAATAAAAGCCTATGAGATCAGAAGCCAAGTTTAAACTATTGTTTTTCGACGTTCAAGTCTAGTTTGATTACGCCATGAGTGTGTGAGTTATTTTTTACCATTGAAATTGAACAATAGTATTACTTCATCCAAGGGGAATTTTATACATTTTTCCTGAATCACCTTAATTTAAAGGACGTTAGAACTATCTATAGACTTTGCAGTGGGATTTGCTTGGGCTGCTATCTGCACGTGACACATCCTGATATAGAAATCGATACTCGTGACAGCAATAAACGGGTATTTTATACCAATTATCTCTTATTTCTTTCTTCCCCACGTACATGCATAGATATAAACACACACACAGAGATTGGCACGCGAATTCGTTTGAGAGAAATGTCTTTTTAAATGTGCCGTTAAAGTTTTGCGGCTTTTTGCGGTGCATCGCTGACGGCGCTTTGTTAATCGATTTTTGATACCACCAACAAAAATTAAAACCAAACGATTCGGAATGGAGCAGAGAAGTCAGAGTTGTCTGCTAGACTATAAAGTGGGCCTGAGCCCCCGTGCCTATATCCTCTGTGGCTGCCTGTTCTGTTGCCAATTTCATTTATCTCTCAGCTTTATATTTTCCTTCCTGCCGCATATTCCATTTAAGGAAAGGGTATATTGGAATTTCAGGAACCGATTGCCTAAAAGAATTTATACATTTTATTAGTTTGCGAAACATATTCAATAATACCTTATTTTCTTTTTTAGGAAGTTTTAAAAAAATATCTATAAAATTTGTTTTTTAATAGGTTACAAAACCAAAAGTTAAATACATATAAGAAATTGATTTCTTTGGTTTAGTATTCGTATAGAATACTTGAATTAGGGAGTTTCAAGCTACAAAAAAATGTTATAAAATATTTTCAAAATATTTAAATTCAATTTCAAAAATCAAAATTACAGAGTATCCTCAGCGTTGTATTTTGAAACTTGTACCATTACCAATAGTAGTCATTGTTGCATTTGCGCTTTATTTTGCACGAAATATGTGAGTTTGACTTTTTGCTTTGCGCTTTGTTTGGCTTTGGCCTGACTTTTCGAGCTGTTTTCGATGTTTTTTACATCTTTTTTCCAGAGTCAGAGCCACGACGAACGATTATTTCATGCTCGCAAGGAAAGTAAATGACCTCTTTGTTGTCATGTTGTCATGGGAAGTCGGTGGGGATCGAGAAAGAGCGCTGTGTAGCTCCCTAGCTTTAGGTATAGCTGTAGATATAGCTATAGGAACGTGCCAGTTTTTGGCCAGCCTTTTCTGGCCAATTTCGCAGGGCCTGCAAAGAGGAAAGTCGAGAGTAGAGAGTAGAAGTCACACAAAGAGGCAGCGAAGCATCAAAAATAAAAGCGTCGCCGTCCGTTTGACTTCGTTTGCCACTTAACGAGAACCCCCCTTTGGCTCCTGCGCACCTCCGCTCCTGTCGTCGTGGCACACATTTGCACTTGCCTGACCCCGCCGATGACCCCTCTTTTGGCCGCCCCAATAGGCCATCACTTTTCACTGGGCCATGTTTTAATTTTTGCATCCTCTTTGAGTGACAAATGACTGCAACAACAAACTTCAAAGCAGTGAGAGACGTAGGAAAGAATATTAGCAAAATTGATGCGCTGAAAAAAAAACTAACTGATCAGGTGCGAAAAAATATATTTAACAATATATATTGTCAAAGTTACTGGCTCCATCTAGCGGCCATTTCATATTTTGCTCATAACTTGTTAATGGATTGTCCGATTTAAAAATGTTCTTTTACATTTCGATAAGTTTTAATAAACGCAACAAAATAACATTTAAACTCTTACAAAATATGTAAGTATGTATGCGCCAGGCTTATTTAAAAGTCCTTTAAAACATCAAAGATCACATAAAAAATGATATTTTGAAGTTACCAAAAATGTGAATGGTAAAAATAGTGGGTTAAAAAAAAACACAGATTTTAGTATTAAATAACTTTTTATTTGCCAATCTATACCAAAAAAGATATGTTCAATCCTCTGGGGTCTGTCGATTTCAAGTCGACAGCTCGCATGCTAAAGAGAGATTGGTTCTCGAAATTTTGATAATAATTTTGATTAAACATAACAACTTTAAACGCACAAAAACTAACTGATAAATTTGCATTGGTTTGGGCCTTGAGTCGTCGGGGTCTGCCTAGGAGATCAACATGCTGGGGTCCAGCCACTTGCGCAACATGACCTTGTTCTGGGCCAAAAGGGCGGCGGCCTCGAGATCGCCGCGTCTGAAGAGCCGCTCATCGAAATCGAAGAGAGATCGATGGGCCGGCAGTTGGACAGTGTGTTTGCAGGACTTCACGTGGCCACGGTTGGGATAGGGTCCCTGTCCAGCCGTCTGCTCAGCCAGTATGCGCTGCATTTGCTCATGGTGATGGTCCAAATAGGCGAAGGCCTCGGAGAACTTGGGCGGGGAACTCTGGAGACTCGTAGGCTGCGGCGGAACTACGAGCAGAACTTCAGACTTGGCCTCTGCCAGTTGCTTCTGCTTGGCCTTCTTGGATCTCTTGGACTTGGATTTCGAGCTGCCGGCTGATGGCGTTTGGGAGTTGCTCGGCTTGGGGTTGTTCCCCTGGGCAAGACGAGACTGCGGCGCCACCTGAGCCAAGTTCCGCTTGCTAGTATTCACCTGGACATTGTGTGGCTTAGACTGCGATGGAGGATTCACTTTGACCTTGGCGAATGGAGAGTTTTTGGGGCTCTGGCGCGGCTTCACCAGCGGCTGATTACCGGCCCGCTTTAGACGTGGAGATAGTACCACCTTGACCTTGAGCCTGGATACGGGATGCGATTCCACGGCAGCGGCATAGCTCATAGGAGTTGGGTTGTCCGACAGGAAGGAGGAGGATGTGGTGGGAAGACTGGAGGTGAGAGGTTCCTCCTCGAGGACCATGTAATCGCCCAGGGGTTTACGACGAACCGGAACAAATTGGCAGGAAGGTTCTTTGCCCCTATTACCACCAGCGGAGCCAAATCCTCTTCCTCCTCTTGAATTTACAGCACTGGGATTTTTTCCTCCAGTATTACCTCCTCCGGAATTACTTCCTCTGGAATTACCGCCTCTATGGTTACCTCCTCTGGAAGTGCCTCCTCCAGAATTACCTCCTCTGGAAGTACCTCCTCCAGAATTACCTCCTCCGATGGCCAAAACATCATTGCCTCGGCAGCAGTTCCGGCGCTTCACCACCACCGTCGTGGATCTGGGTCTTGGACTCGCCAGCTTGGTCTTCGTCTTTGGCTCTAAAGCTGTGGGTGTTGTGGCTGGCTCTGGCTTACATCGGGATACGAATCGGGGATTACTAAATCTACTTAAGGCGACACTAAGCACTCACTTACTTTGGCTTTTCGGGTGAACTGGGATTTCATTTTTTTGTTTGAGTCTCCACGATTCGACAGTCACTGTTCTAATAGAAATTTGATAACTAGCTCTCATTTGACAGCCAGTATTGCCACCCGTGCGGTTTTTAGGTGTAAAATAATAGGGTTCTACTTAAAAAACAATATTTTTTATAAATCATCTGCAAAGGCTTAGAAAGATTACTTTTAATTTTTTAAATTATTTCAAAAGCCTACGTAAATATTTTTTTCAATAGGGTTGCCACATTTTTTAAAAATATAATATTCGATTTATCGATATGAAGTAGAAACAAATGGAAAGAACTAATATTTTTTAGTTGAGATAAATGCAAAAAATATCTCTTGAAATAAAAATGGAAAGTGTCTGTTATAGATTAAAGCCAAATTTTTTTTTTAAGGCAAATGGTAGACTGACAGTGAGTATTATTTCTTTCTGTGCCACACTCTAAAGACTTTTTCGCTTTCGGAAGCCACGAAGGGGCTAAAGAAGAATGACAATAGCTTTATGTATTTATTTATATACATTTTCTCTCCACTCTTGACTGGGCCTCTTCACCTCGCTCACTTCACTCAAAACTCGAAACTAAAGTTCACTTTTGCATGACAATCAATTTTTCACTCCGCGGAGGATGGACAATCATGCGGGGATCCAGGGGAAAAGGTGAGGGAAATGGTCGGGGAAAAGGGAAAATGGAAACTGGGAGTGGGGTGCATCAATTGAGGCATGAAAATAAAAGTGGTCAAGCAGGCAAAGAGGAAGAGAGATGCAGCGATAGAGAGGGACAATATTTCGACTTGTCACTGTCTTTGCATCGCCCCTTTATTGCAATTTGCTTCCCGTCTTTCGTTCTCATATCTTTTCTATGAGATCAGTCAGATATAGACATAGATATAGATATGGTAAATTGTGTAACTCAAACAGACTTTGTATAAACAAATTCGGTTGCAACAATATTTAGTTGTATTGTAAATGCAATGTTTAGTGAAGGTTTTAAAAAATTATTTTCTTTTTTAATTTCAAATTTACAAGGGCTTAAATCTTTTTAAAAATGTCTCAAAGGATATATCTATTTAATACCAAAACAATTAATTTCTTAAAATAGCTATTTTTAAATAACAAAAAATATTAAGCAAATAAATGACATTGTATAGATTATTAAAAGCTTAATTTTTTTGTATATATTAAATTTTTAGATAAGATATAAAAAAGGGAAAACGTTGACAAAGAGCAATGAAGTTAGCTAACTTTTCCCTTATTTACCTTCTTTGTGCACCTTAATTATCGTTTTTCCGGTGCCCTGTTGCCTGAGAACTATTGTGGTTCGTAACTTTTGTTTCACTCCAAGATTATGCAATTTTCTGTCCTCGAAAGCCCCCCTCTTGTTACCACTCACTTTCATTGCACTTTAATCTCCGAGAGAATCTTAAGTTTCTGCTCCCATTTCCACTCATTGAGACATCGCCTAATTAGACTTCGCTTTCAAGAGGTTCGCTTGCCAATTTTTTTTTTCTCGCTGAGATGGAAAGCAAATCAAAGACGCAGAAAAAAGACTGAGAAACTGCGACCAAAAAGAGAATTTTCTATGCCTACAAACTTCAAAGTCAAGATTTCGTTTGGCCAGCTTTTTTTCCAGCAACTTGGCGTCTTTTGTGTCCCAAATTGTAAATGTAACAAAAAGTTTTGTCCAATTCGGAAAGTGGAAGTCGTCGTCGTCGTCGTCGTTGTAGAAGTTGTTTGAAAACTTTAAATAGCTTCTGCTGCTGCCTGTGGCTTGTATTATTTCAGTTTTTTCCGTTCCGAGGGCTTTCCCTCCAATTAAACGCTTCCCATTGTGGGCCTTGTATTGTATAATTAATTTCGATGCTCAAATTTTGACTAATGACCGAAAAAGAAGAATGGTTGAAGATGATTGAAGAGAGTCTAAACAAGTTTTTTGGGTCAAGCTTTTGATTCTTCTGCAGCTAATTTCGCTTCTCCTCTCCTCGGTTTCCTGTTTTGGATGTCTTTTAATTGTTTTCCCTCCCTCCAGATTTTTGTCTTTTGTTGCTGAAATTATATTCATGTTAATGCGCATTTGCTTGCTATAAGAGGGGGGAACTTCCCTCTTTTGTCACTTGTAACAAGAGTTGGACGCACTCACTTGACTCGGAATTCATGGGGAAAGAACAAGGAAAGAACCGAGGGGATTTCGGAATATGTTCCTCCTCCTCGAAAGAATTGCTTTGTTTAAATTCAATTGATCTTTATTACCTCGCCCAACGGAGATCCCAGGGGAAAGATCACTCGAGAGGTCTGCCAACGACTCGTGTAAATTGTGAAGGGGGAGACAACAAGTTGAACTCGCTCGTCTTCTTGGTCCCTCTTGTTTTTATTTTATCATTTCTTTCTCTTAAGCATTTGCATTTGACTTTCGTCGTCATCATCCAATTGATTCCACCCCTCCTCATGCAAGTTTTCAATGAGGGGGATCTGTAAATAGGCAGGGTGTTCTATGTTTGGTGCTTTTATTGCATCTGTGATGGGGATTATTTATAGAGGGCAAAGGGCCAGAGATGGATAAGTTCAAGTGGTGGTTGCATGACTCTTGAGTTGCCTTGCACTTGAAATTCTTTTTTATATCTTGTAGTTTTGTATTAATTTTAATATAATTATTTTTAGTCTTACTATTCTAGTTATGAAAATCCTTTATATAAGGTTTTTGATTAAAGGCATTTTGATTGACAGGCTTAAATCGCTTTAATGTGCCGCCTTGTGTGCTCGTTGCAGTGAACTCTTTTCTATTATTCAACTCTGCTCCACATTTAACCCCAAACCGCATTCTGCTGCCGCTGAACTTGTGTCCCACATTCAAAAGTTTCGCTTGTTCGTCTTGTGTGCTAAGAGTCCTCTTAATTAATAATTAAATGACTCTTTTAAGACTTGTACAATACATGCATCCTTACTTCGTAATCTGATTGGATATTATATCATCCTTTTTTATATAAACTTTTGCTAATCACATAAGCCCTGCCACTCGTATTTGTATTTGAATTTCCACTTGCCATTTGGTTTGCAATGTGTGGGAATCGCCTTTTGTGCTAGCAGTGAAAATTCAAATAGAGCTCTTAACTGGTGGGAAAATGGGAGTGAGAGAGAGGGAGGAAGAGTATGTGAAGTTTCTGACGTTTATAAATTAAACAAGCAAAATGCTGAAACGTCAGCAGAACTGAACACAACTGAAATGAACTGAACTGAGAGCAGAGCCAGAGGCGGCATTTCCTATTGACTTTGCTAATTGACTGAAGCGAAGGGCCAACGGGACGGGAAAAGGGGGTGAAAATGGCGTGAAAAAGCTGGGACTAGGTGAGTTTTGACTCACTGTCCAAATATGTAGGGATATGTTCTGACACACTAAATATTTCACAGAAAATAAAACTGTTTTACAGAAAATTAAGAACTTTTTGTGACCTAATTTGAAGCTAAAAATATTCACAATATATTAAGACTATAATCCACGCTTTAAGTTATTTTATTCAGAATTAATCTCCCAAGTTCTACATAGTTTGAAAATGGAACTCAATATATAAATCATATAAGATGGCTAGCAAGAAACACTTTGTTCAAGTGGCGGCAATTGGAAATGAAATCTTGAATTGATAATCAACTTTGGCTCTTTTGTGTGGAGTGTCACAAGTGATCTACAGCCGAGTTTTGTTCACAAATCACTTTCTAATTGGTGTTATCATTTGGCTCACACATTCGGAATGTGAATTCCCATGGGGCATGGGTGACCCCCGAGCGTATGGTAATCGTTAGATGCATATTCAAGACCCTGATCCACCGCCTGCACAGATGTCAGGCAAACAAAAGAGGAAACATATATCACCGGAGCGTTGGTAATGCCCAATTTAAATAGAGAAGAGCAAACAGACATTTGATTGCGTAGAAGAGGAGCATTAGGCGTTCAGCCGGCAGTTTCCCCCCATGAATACACACTCGTTTCCCCTGGGCTCCACGAAAAATAGAGAAAAACTCACTGCTACTCCCCACGTGAAATCAAAACCCACTTGCAGTTGCCAGCTGCTGTGTCTTTAGCTTCTGCTGATGACGCTGATGGAGGAACTTTACTTGAGAGTTGCAGTTCCGAGTTCCAAGTTTGAGTTGCGAGTGGGCGGGGGCGTTTCGGAGTCACACATATAGAAAGATATGGGGGGAATCCGCCTGATGAGGCGGAAGTGAAAGCGACCAAGCAGAATTAAACCGCTTCCTCTCTTTTTAGCCTGGGCTTTTGTGCTAAAGCCCACTCATATGTGGATACCCTTGATGGTAGAAGGCATTATAATTGGATCTATTATGGTATTTTAAGTGGAAGAAAATATTATTTAAAATTTAACTCATTGCCAAAATAGGTTTATTTTTAAAACAATTTATTCCAGTTTTTTTTTTAATTTTTTATTAACTTTTCTTTTATTGTTTGAAAAAAAGGTATTAAGTTTGTACAACCAGAAAATTCCAAATCAATTTGGGACCGACTAATGTGAGCAATTCAATTATGTAGTTGCTAAGGTATAAAGATAGTATACATATCTATTGATAAAACTGGGCGCATCTAAGATTTGATAACATTATCAATTGCAAATGGAATCGATTTTGGGAAACCTTTAGGCCGATAAATTCTAATGTGTGATAAATAAAGTATCAAAAAGACAATGCTAACGAAATAAATTGTTCAAATAATTCGATAAATTTTAAGAGTGAAAGTACTTTTGCAATCACAATTTAAACCCGGTATTTACTATACTTTATAGGGTGTTAATGTATTTTTTTTACTGCTAAAGATCCCAGCCCGTTTGAAGGGTAATAAAAAAGTCTGCTGACTGGGATTCTTGAGTGGGTTTTTATTACATTTTCTTTTGGCAAGCATTAGCTGCGCCTTAACCCAAAAAAGCCCGTATTTGAGTTCAAGTTTTTGGTCAATTTAACACGCCGCCTGGCCACGCTCTGTTTGCGGCACGCCAATTGTTGTTTATAAGCAAAAAATGCGTGCTGACGTAAGGTCAAGGTATGTATTTTTATTTTGAGATTAAATTCGACGTACTCACTATCCATCCACTCCCAAAA